GCAGCAGTAGCGGTAGGAGAAGCAGGTAGGACGAACCAGGTAGGGCAGGGCGGCGCGGCTCGGTTCAGGTCGGGTCGCGGCTCGGCTGGGTGGCGCGGCTCGGCTCGGGGCGCGGGGGGGGCGGGCCGCCCGCTTTCCCTCTTGTGCTGCGGCGGGAACGGGCCGCCCGGGGCCTCTGGGTGGTGGGCACGGGTCGGCGAGGTAGGCACGGGGCCGGTTGGGGCCCTAGAGGGGCGAGCGCGGGGCCGATCGGGGCCTGAGTGGGGCTAGCGCGGGGCCAAACGGGGCCTTGACGGGGCTAGCAAGGGGCCGACGGGGCCTGAACGGGGCTAGCGCGGGGCCGACGGGGCCTGAAACGGGGCCGAAGGGGGCCTGAAACGGGGCTAGCGCGGGCCCGATCGGGGCCTGAATGGGGCTAGCGCGGGGCCGACGGGGCCTGAGAGGGGCTAGCGCGGGGCCTACGGGGCCTGAGACGGGGCTAGCGCGGGCCGACGGGGCCTGAAACGGGGCTAGCGCGGGCCGACGGGGCCTGAGAGGGGCTAGCGCGGGGCCGACGGGGCCTGAAACGGGGCCGACGGGGCCTGAAACGGGGCTAGCGCGGGCCGACGGGGCCTGAGAGGGGCTAGCGCGGGGCCGACGGGGCCTGAAAAGGGGCCGACGGGGCCTGAAACGGGGCTAGCGCGGGTCGACGGGGCCTGAGGGGGGCTAGCGTGGGGCCGACGGGGCCTGAAACGGGGCCGACGGGGCCTAAACGGGGCTAGCGCGGGGCCTGAACGGGGCCTTAAAGGGGCCGACGGGGCCTGAACGGGGCTAGCGCGGGGCCGTCAAGAGGGGCCTCTAGGGGCGTGACACGCCGAGGCGCCCTAGGGCACGGGTAGGTAGGTAGGTAGGTAGTTACGTAGTGGTGGGCCCTTAGAAAATTTCGGTCCTAGGAAGGACCTGCTCTATACCATGTTGGAATCACTGAACAGGAAATGGATGAACTAGCAATGAAAAGAGTACAAGTACCTAACCCTAGAATTGTGTACCCCCTATAGGCTAACCCACTGTAGCCTAAACTAACACAACATATATAATGTTTGACAAGTTGCTGTTCCCACGTGGTCGGGTCGTCACACGTGGCCCTGATGAGCTGTTCCATGGTCTGATTTGTCCGTTCTGTCTGTCCGTCGGTTTCGGGGTGGTATGATGAACTGAACTGCAGTCGTGTGCCGAACTGCTGCCACAGGTTCCGCCAGAAGTTGCTGGTGAATTTCGTGTCGCGGTCGCTGATGATCGCGGCTGGTATCCCGTGCAGTCGAACGACGGTGGAGATGAAGAGGCGTGCTGTTTCTTCGGCTGTGATTGATTTTTTGCAGGCTGCGAAATGTGCCATTTTCGTCAGTCAATCGACGACGACCAGGATCGCGTCGTTCCCACTCGCCCCAGCTGGTAACCCCGTGACGAAGTCCATCGTCACCTGCTGCCAAGCACGCTCTGGGGGTGGTATCGGCTGCAACTGTCCCGCCGGCCGCTGTCGTGATGATTTCATGAGCTGACAAGTGGGACACGATGCCACGTGTCGTTGTACGTCGGTCAACATTTCGGGCCAGTAATAATACCGCTGCAGCTGCTGCCGTGTTTTTTCTACTCCGAAATGCCCCGAGGTAACTCCGTCGTGTGCCTCTTGTAACAGTAATTCCCGTAGCAGTGTATACCCAGGCACCCAAATGCGGTCAGTCCCGGTTTTTACGTAATAGACTCCCTTTGCTGCTGCGAACTGCTGCGAATGTCCTCCTGTGAAGAATGGATCCGTTTGGTACCCGTGGGTGAATAGGCCTGTCAGTAGCGGGCTTGTCTGGGCGAGTAGTATTGCGTGGATCTGGGCAGTGGGGCGGGTCAGTGCGTCGGCGATGTTCGAGGCTCCCTTTTTGTAAGTGACCGTGTAGTGAAAGTTGGACTCGAGGAAATCGAGCCAGCGAATCTGTCGTGGGTTGAGGTGTGGCTGTGCGCGAAGGTATTGTAGTGATTTATGGTCTGTCCATACTGTCACGTCCGCGCCAGTCAAGTAACAGCGCCATACTTTGAACGCGTGCACGATCGCAAGCATTTCGCGGTCGTGTATCGGGTAATTTTTCTCGGGCGGATGCAGTTTTCGTGACTCGTATGCGATAGGTTGTAGGCCATTGCCGAAATCCTGTAGCAGTACGGCTCCGATGGCGATATCGCTTGCGTCGGTAACTACTTCGAATGGGCGGTGTGGGTCGGCGATGCGCAGGACGGGCGGGGAACAGAGAACATTTTTCAGGGCAGAGAAGGCAGCATGCTCTTTCTCCCCCCACGTAAAAGCGACCCCCTTCCGCAGTAAGTCCGTCAGTGGGGCAGTTAACCGTGCCATATCGGGGACGAACCGACGCACATAATTAACGAACCCTAAAAAGCTCTGCAGCTCCGTGATGTTCGTCGGGGGATGCCACGCTTGTACCGTATCCAGCTTCTTTGGGTCGATTTCAACTCCAGCCTCCGAAATAACGTGCCCCAAAAATTCTAACCTATCCTGGAAGAACTCGCACTTGGAACCCTTGGTCAGTAATCTGTGCTCGTCTAAAACCTTAAACAATGCTTCCAGATCTGCTAAGTGCTGCTACTTATCCCGACTGTACACTAGGATGTCGTCGAGGTAAACTATTACACGTTTATCTAAGAGCGGCCTAAATGCCTCGTTCATGGTCATCTGAAAAGTCGCCGGTGCGTTGGTCAGCCCGAATGGCATCACAGTGTACTCGAACGACCCGTACCTAGTCCTGAAAGCTGTTTTGGCGCAGTCCGATGGTTCGACCCTAATCTGATGGTAACCTCCCCGTAAATCTATTTTCGAAAAAACCCGTGCTGTTCGCAGTTGGTCGATCAGTTCGTCGGCGCGGGGAATGGGGTACCGCGACTTGACTGTTACCCTGTTCAGTGCTCTGTAGTCGATACACATGCGAAAACCCCCGTCTTTTTTCGGCGTGAATAGTATCGGTGCGGCGAACGGTGACGAGCTCGGTCTGATGAATTTTTTCTCTAACAGGTAATCTAACTGCTTCTTTAGTTCGTCGAGCTCGGGCTGTGTCAGTCTGAACTGGCGCTATACGGTTGGCTGTGCCCCCGGTTCTAATTCGATTCGGTGGTCATGTGCTCGTTGAGGTGGCAGCCCTTCCGGTAAGTCGTCGGGGAAAATCCCGGGGTATCGTTTCAACAGTTCCTGTAATTCGGGCGGTACGGCTGCCAGCAGTTTCTTGAAATCACTCGGCTGCTCTTCTTCCTCTACTGCTGCGATGTCTACTGCGTACACGTCAGCTCCAGCAGCGACAGCCCGTTTCATTGTGATGGCGTTGACGTGTACCGTTGAAGACTCGGGTGACTGCCAGCGAGGTAGCTCAACCCAGTTACCACTACTTCGCACGGTGCAGCTACCCGTCGTCCAGTCAATTCGCGGGTTATACCGTCGCAGCCAATCACGTCCCAGTAAAATATCGTGCCCATCCAGTGTCGTTGCGAGCATTTCCTGTGTAAACCCGAAATTTCCCCCGCAGCGGACTTTGACTCTCTCTACCTTTTCCCGTATGGCCAGTGGCGTGCCGTCGACTAAGCGTGCGTCTATCTCCGGTAAGCAACGGCTAAGTGTCAGCTGCAGTTTTCGTGCGGTTGCGGTATTAACTAAACTGTGGCTTGCTCCTCCGTCGATAAAAATCTTCACTGCTGCTCCCTGTATTTTCCCGTGGATCAGTACTGGGCAATCCGTCGCTGTACCCTCCTTATTCGTCCGAGTCCGATCGATAGCATGAATCGGTACTGTGACTCGGTGAGGGTCGGTGGGGTTGGGCGAGCAGGCAGTCTCGTCAGTAGTTGGCCCGATTCCTACTGACTGCTGGCGTTTCCCTGCTTTGGAGACTCCCTCCCCTGCTCTGCTCCGCGGCGCCTTAGCTCCTCTTTGCATTCGCTCTTGCGATGGCCCGGCCTGTTGCAAGCAAAGCAGCGCCCCTTAAACGGCGCGGCAGCTGCATTCGTCGCAACAGCGTGTACAGTGGCGTGCTCGATCGGTCCCCGAGGATGATGTCCATAGTAGGACCCCGGTCTCGGACGGCGTAAAATGTCGATTTTCTCGGCGAGCGCGAGAATCTCGTTGAAGTTCGAGAGCCCGCGTAGCATGATTTCGTGCGAGATGTCCGGCTTCAGCCCTCCGACGTAACGGTCCACCCGCTCCGCTTCGTGCATGTAGCCGACTTGCTCGCATAATGCGAGAAAATCACTCGTATAGTCTTGAACTGATCCAAGCTGCCGCCAAGTGCGCAATCTCTGACGCGCCGAAATAGAAGCCGCGATCGGCTCGAAGCGCGCCCGAAGCCCTGCGCACCACGCATCCCACGTGCTGTATTGGGCGGTCTCGCAGAATGAACTCCAGGTGACAGACTGTGGTTGTCGCGCGACGGGCCTGGGACTGAGGTTGGGAAAAAGTGTCGAAGCGGAGGCCCGGAGCACGGGTTACCCGCCGAGCCGTGAGGTCGGGGTGCGATGTGCGAAGGTGGCGGGCGGATTGTCGATGCGAGGGTTGCGGGTGGTAACGGTGCTGACTGTGGTGCTACAGTGATGTACGCGTTGAGCAGGGATGCGAAGTAAGGAAAAGGAATTTTCCTTACAACAGGACTTGTAATCCATTTGAAGTGGCTCAGCTTGGGCAGCTGCTGCCCAAAATCGAGAGTTGATTTAGGTAACTAGGACAATTCACTCGGTCTCTCGGGGAAATATCAGAGCACACAATAACGCTTCAAATCGCGATTCCGAAACCCAGCCTTCCGAAATCAACTAAACCTTCAAAACCCTTCTCACTCCTTTTTTCACTGCGAGTCTACAAAACCATGAATCTTGCTCTAATACCTAGCTCGTTCATAAACCCGTCATTTTACGTGCACAAGTCTTCGCGCCCCACATACTCTCTCCGTGATAATTCATCCTTTCGAGCTACCAATAAGGTCGTAGCCATGACTTCAGGTAATCAGCAAAGGCGCAAGAAGCGGCAGCAGCAGCAGAAACAGCCGGGGCAATCTGAGGCTGCGGAAGCGGCGCAATTGACGGGGGGAGAGGAGGCGGAGCAGCAGCCCGCGGCAGAGCCGATGGAAACTAGCGGGGCGGCGCATGAAGCGCAAGCGGGGACGGAAGCGCCGGAGAGCAGCGCGGGAGGCGGAGGAGCGTCGTCGGGGAATAAAGACCTGACGAGCGCCGATTATTACTTCGACTCGTACGCCCACTTCGGTACTTTCCCGCTTTCTATCATACCCTCTTCCTCTTCTTTTCGCCGCCTAGTTGTTCTCTCCTAGCGTCGCGAGCTCGTAATCTTGCAGCGCATTTGCCGTTCGCCCGCTTCGTGGATATAGATCATGGGGATGTAATTTTCCCACTCCATACGTTTCACGGTTCGGGAGTGCTTTCTGGCTTTCGAAACGACTAGGCGCGTCGAGAGTGGGGGCGGAGCTGAGGTGCCCTTCAGCGGAAGACCCCCGCTCATCCACGACCCACCTTTTTCATCCCTCTCCGTAATTTCCCTGCGCCGCGCAGGCATCCACGAGGAGATGCTGAAAGACGCGGTGCGCACTAAGACGTACGAAGCCGCCATCTGCGGCAGCACGTTTCTGTTCAAGGACAAGGTCGTCATGGACGTCGGTGCTGGCACTGGGATCCTCTCGCTCTTCGCTGCTAAAGCGGGCGCCAAGAAGGTGTACGCGGTAAAAGCTGTTTCTGTATGCCGTAAAGCCTGTCCTCTACATTCGTTGTCAAAGCATTTGGTGTCGAATATCAGATTTCAAACCGGTTCCATACAAATGAAGTGCTCATAGACTTCCAAGTGTGAAGAATGCTCATACAAACATTTCACTTAATGTGAAAAATTCGCATTAGTTCTGCCCGTGTCGTGCCATTCCGTGCCATGCCGTGCCATGCAGATGGAGTGCTCAGAGTTTGCCGAGTGCGCACGCGAAATCGTGGCAGCCAATCACATGGACCACAGTGAGTCAACACATGGACCACAGTGAGTCAACACATGGACCACAGTGAGTCAACACATGGACCACAGTGAGTCAACACATGGACCACAGTGAGTCAACACATGGACCACAGTGAGTCAACACATGGACCACAGTGAGTCAACACATGGACCACAGTGAGTCAACACATGGACCACAGTGAGTCAACACATGGACCACAGTGAGTCAACACATGGACCACAGTGAGTCAACACATGGACCACAGTGAGTCAACACATGGACCACAGTGAGTCAACACATGGACCACAGTGAGTCAACACATGGACCACAGTGAGTCAACACATGGACCACAGTGAGTCAACACATGGACCACAGTGAGTCAACACATGGACCACAGTGAGTCAACACATGGACCACAGTGAGTCAACACATGGACCACAGTGAGTCAACACATGGACCACAGTGAGTCAACACATGGACCACAGTGAGTCAACACATGGACCACAGTGAGTCAACACATGGACCACAGTGAGTCAACACATGGACCACAGTGAGGCGCATGGTTCCAGGGTTCAGGGCTTCGGGTGTTGGGGCCGTCTTTTGAGACGTCTCAAAAAGTTGGTTTTATGGTACAGGGGTTTTGGGTGTTGGGCCGGTGCCCTCGAGTTGAGCAACCAGCTTAGTTTCGGGTTTAGGGTAATCACCGTTGTCGTGGTTTAGTTCGGTTCATACAATCACAACGGTGCATGGAAGTTAGAGGACGTGGATTTGTCATTTCTTACCCCCCCACATTCCCCCAACCCTTGCCCCTCGTCCCCGCACCCGGCCCCCAAACTCACCGTTTTCCCCCCTCTCGTAGTAATGGCGGTGATGAAATGGAAGGTCGAGGTCGTGGACTTGCCAGAAGGGGAATAGGTGAATTCAGTACCCCTCCACACCCCTCCACAACCCTCCGCACCTCCCTCTGCCTCTCTCCCCACGCCCGCCCCTCCCTCCTTTCGCAGTAATCACGGTGATTAAAGGAAAGGTGGAGGATGTGGAGTTACCAGAGGGGGAGAAGGTGGATGTGATTATATCGGAGTGGATGGGCTACTTCCTGCTCTACGAGTCCATGCTCGACACTGTGCTCTTTGCGAGGGACAAGTGGCTGGTGAGTGGGAGATGTGATTGGGTAACATGGTTACCACAGGGGATTGGAGTGGATGGGCTACTTCATGCCATATGAGTCCATGCTCGCCACAGACAAGTGGCTGGTGGGTGTGAACCGTGTTATTGTACAGACGGTTTGGGGTTCGATTCTTATTGTTGGCACTTTTCAGCTGTGTCAAAGTGGATGGGCTACTTCCTGCGCTGTGGGACCGAGCTCGATACAGTGCTGTTCGCACATGACTGGCGAACGGACGCGTAGAGCTTCTGCATGCTTTCTGACCACTGCTCACTGCTAGCTGTACCCTGACTTCTCCTGCTCCATGCTTTCTCCTGCCTCCCTAACCCCTTTGCACTCTCTCGCTCCCGTGCATGCATGTGTGCAGGCAAACGGAGGCATAGTGCTGCCAGACCATTGCTCGTTGTACCTGATGGCGATAGAAGATGCCGAGTACAAGCAGGAGAAGATCCACTGTGAGTGCACAAGAGAAAGGAGGGGGGGAGTAGGGAGCCACTGGCCGTGTGCTACCTGCTTGGATGCAGAATACAAGCAGGAGAAGGTTCACTGTTTACCCACGTGTGTGCTATTCTTTCTTCCCATTTTCCTCACTTCCCAGTCTGGCAGTCAGTGTATGGGTTTGAGATGAGCTGCATTTGAGACGAGACCATAGTTGCCCATGGATGGAGGGTAGGTTATGAGAGCCTTCCCTCACTGTATGTGTGTGTCCCTTCTCCCCTTGCACTGCAGTCTGGCAGGCGGTGTACGGGTTTGGCATGAGCTGCATTCGATTCGAGACAAGGCCATGTTGGAGCCCCCCTTGAGCGCTCCCTTCTCACACTTTCTCCTCCTTACCTTGTGCCATTCTTCCCCTTCCCTTTCCGCCTCTGTTTCCTTCCCAGTCTGGCAGTCAGTGTACGGGTTTGACATGAGCTGCATTCGAGACAAGGCCATGTTGGAGCCTCTGGTGGATACTGTGGACGCAGAGCAGATCGTCACCAACTCCTGCCTTGTCAAGGTGAGATGCAGGACCCACACGAACCTCTCTCGCACTCTCTCACTCTCGGTACAAGGCCATGTTGGAGCCTCTGGCCGACACAGTAGACACCGAGCAGATCGTCTCGTCACCAACGCGTGCTGGAAGCTGAGCTGGAACCTGTTTCATGCTCTGTTTCTTACCTGCTCCCTAGTGCTCCTCTCCCTTCCTTCTCCCCGCTTCCCAGTCCTTGGACATCAGCAAGGTGACAAGGGGCGACCTCTCCTTCTCAGTGCCCTTCAAACTCGTGGCGGAGAGGAATGACTTTGTGCATGCATGCTCTGTTACTCACATCTTTTCCCACTCCCTCTTCCATCGCTCTCTTTCCTTCTTGCTCATTCCTCCCCCACTCCAGTCGCTTGACATCAGCCACGTGACGACCTGTCCTTCTCAGTGCCGTTCAAGCTGGTGGCGGAGAGGAATGACTTTGTGCATGCTCTGTTCTGTTTCTCACCTGCTCTCCATTCTCCCTTTCGCTTCTCTTCCCCCTTCTCTTCCCTATCCCCTTCTCCTTCCCCTTCCCTTACCCCCCCTCCAGTCTTTGGACATCAGCAAGGTGACAAGGGGCGATCTCTCCTTCTCAGTGCCCTTCAAGCTCGTAGCAGAGAGGAATGACTTTGTGCATGCGCTCGTGGCCTACTTTGACGTTGGCTTCACCAAGTGCCACAAGCCAATTGGTTTCTCAACAGGTTAGTGGCTCTGGCTTTTCGACAGGTATCTTATTCACTGTTTCTTTGGTTCAGTTCCCCCCCCCCCCACCTTCCTCTCCCCCCCCCCCCCCCCCCCCCCCGCCTTCCCCCCCTCTCCCTTCCCCATTGGCAATCGCTTTCATCCCCTCTACTTTCTTCAACCTATGCTCGTGCTTCCCAAATTGTAACACATTCGCTATCGAATTAAACATTGGCCCGATGCCGATCATTTCCGCAGGGCCCAAGAGCCGGGGTACGCATTGGAAGCAAACGGTGCTATACTTGGAAGACACCCTAACTATGTGTGAAGGGGAAGCGGTTACCGGAACCATGCAAGTGAAGCCCAATGCGAAGAACCCCCGTGATCTAGACATATCCGTGACGTACAAGTTTGATGGTCGTAGAGGTAAGGCTTCGCGCACCCAACATTACCGCATGCGGTAATGTGGGCAGTGCTTGTTTTAAGAAAGCCTCTTGGTTTATGTTGATTTCATGCTTAGAAATGGATGTCTCGTGTTTTTTAACCCATTTTGATGTTTAGTGCCATATTCATTCTTTGGTTATTCAGCTGCACTAGAAAATATCGTGTTACTATTTAGAAGACTATCGCGTAACAGCTCCCTGGTGTGTTCGACCAGCAACAGTCGGCAAACCCATCAAATCATGGACATGTGAGAACCTCAATGCGGTTGGGTGAGATGTTATATGCTGCAAAGCGGTTATTATGTTCTTCAACACTTCACGTACGGTTTCCAACATCATTTTCCTTCAGATTCCTTCATCCGCTTTATCAACTTGATTGCTGCCCACTGAAGCAGTGATTTTGCAACATCATCTGAAGTGTTTCAGCCCGCAGCAGTGCTCCCAAAAATGACACTACGTGTCGCTCTGTCGAGCGACTTCCATTCACGCCATTTGTGACTCCTCACAGCTTTCTACTCTTGCCGGTCCCGCCGTTTTCGCCGTTCCCGTTGTTCCCGCCGTTCCAATCCAGCACCGCCATACGGCACGCGGTCTGGTCCTCAACGCTCGCTTTAGTTCCTTTGAGAATACTCAAGAATCTCAAGAATGGCCTCCTGTTGTGCAACGTGTGATCCGATGCGCCTTGCCGCCTGTTCCACTCGTTCCGCTCCGAATCCGCACGGCGATTTACTGATCAAGTGCCAGAATCCAGTCGCCGATCCAATCCCGAGGCTCCTCGGCATTCCGGCTTCCACGCCATATCTTGGCTTACAACGCGAATGTAGTGTAGCACGCCGCGGGTTCAATATACAGCACAGATACCTCGGCGTACAACGTGTTCAAGCCAGATACGGCTTGCAGCGTTGGGGTACTGATGCGACGGAAAAGCGAGGCTATTTGGGGGAAAACGAGGCTCACGGTAATGGGGATGGGGATGAAAGGGAAGCTTCGAGAATTGCGGTTAGGATTGTGGCGCAGGAAAGAGATATGATTTTGAAGGCGTCTCGGGGATTGGATGAACTGGAGGGGCGACTCGGAGTGGCAGGCCGGACTATAGAGGATACGAGAGAAGGTAGGATAGAGGATAGAAGAGTTTTCAGGAGTGAGGGTAGGAGATTAGGGAACGGCGTAGTTAGACAGGTATGGAGACGAGGAGAGAATCTGCGCATTCCCAGGAGAGGGGATGATAAGGATAAACTTAGAATACGGAGTAATCAGAGGATGGAGGATAGGAATTTTAGGTATTCTGGGGGTATTGTTGAGGAAAAAGGAGGGATAGGGGTGATGACTGATAGCGAAGCAGACAGCGTACCAGTGACGCCCACGGATGCTGACTCTCCGTTTGTACTCGTTAGTAGCAAGGCGGATTTCCATCCACACGTTGACGCACCAACTGGGTCAACCGCATGGCGGGAGCAGAATCCAGGGAGGCAGGAGTGGAATCCAGCTAAGCAGAGTCAGAAACCAGCGATGCAGGAGGCGAATCCAGCCAAGCAGAATCAGAATCCAGCGAGGGAGAGTCAAAATCAAGCGAGGCAAAATCAAGATCCAGCTAAGCAGAGTCAGAATCCAGCAAGGCAGCAGCTGCTGTACCTGGAAAGGTGTGGGAGAGAGGGGAGAGCAGCAGAAGCACTGGTGATGCTGGGAGTGATGGAAAGGGAGGAGGGTGGGGGGGAGGAGGAAGGGGAGGCAGTGGAGAGAGAGGAGGAAGAAGAGGAGAGGGATTGGGAAGAGGAGAGGTACGGAGCGAGAGGGCATGGAGAAATAGGTGGTGACAGAAAGGAAGGTGAGAGAGGGGGAGGTGTTGACAGGAGTTGGTTGAATGCAGCGGCTTTCTGTCATGCCATGCATGCGCTGCTTAATGCCGACTGGCCGCTGGCCGCATCCAGACGTGCTGACGTGGGCACTGCGTCGTTGCCAGCTGGCAACCGTCGCGCGTCACCGTCTGTGTCTTCTTTTGGACGAGTTTCTGATGCTGCATCAGCGCTCGCCGCCCGGATGGCAGCAGTTGGAGTCACACCCAACCGGCAGTTTTGTCATCTTCTGGTGGAGGCATATCTGCGTGACGGGAGGGTGGAAGAAGCGGAGGAGGCGTGTGAGAGAGTGAGGGAGGAGGGGTGGAAGGTTCCTGGGAAGGTTCTGAGAAGGATCGTGCGGGCTTGGGCTAGAGAGGGGAGAGCAGGGGAGGCAGAAGAGGGGGTGAGGGAGATGGTGAAGGAAGGGGTCCAATTGGACGTTGCCACGTGTAACAGCATGATTGGGTTATATGCTCGTGTGGGGGCGTATGACAAGGCAGGGCGAGTGTGGGAGTGGATGGAGGAGAATGAGGGAGAAGAGGAGGAGGAAACAGGAGGGGAGTGGGGAGAGAGAGGAGGGGAATGGGGTGAGAGAGGAGGGGAGTGGGGTAATGAAGGTGGGGGAAGTGTGGGGAGGAAGGGCGGACAGGGCGAGTGGAAGGGAGGGAGGAGGAGGAGAGGGAGTGAATGCACTCCAACAGAAGCAACATATCGTGCCCTCATTCGCATGTGAGTGGGACTCGAACACTCGGTTGTTTTTGTTTTTTCTAGCCGTTTCAATATTTAACAAGGCATAGCATGTCAGACTGAAATTTCCAGTTTCATTCTTGAGCTTGAGGTTGAAGAATAGACAAAGCGTGTGAGGTGGGAACTCTTATCACGGCGATTCATGCGTCTTTGTGAGTAATATGCTGCCTTTGTAATGTCCCATCCCATGTGCCACAACAACCCATACTCAGTGCCATGCCTCGAATCACAGGCCTCATGGCCATGCTTCATATCATAGCACAAGCCTGTGACCCATTATTCATGGTGCATGCATCATCTACACCCCATATAACACCTTATACAATTCCCGTGTAACACCTGTTATGAGCACCATATAACACCTTGAATAAGCCCCGTGTAACACCTCATATGAACCCCATGTGACACCTTTACTATACCCCTTATAACGCCTTGAATTAACCCCATGTAACACCTTGTACGAACCCCATATAACACCTTAAATGAACCCCATATTAGACCTTCAATAAACCCTGTATAACACTGCAAATAAACCCCATATAACACCTTCAATAAACCCCATATAACACCCTAAATATGCCCCATATAACACCAGGTACACCCAAGCGGGCGTGCCCAGCAAGGCCACCCACATGCTGCATGCCATGAACGCACGTTGTACCTGTGCTGCTGTGCACATTCCCCATGCCTCACATGCCATGCCATGCCATATGCCCCATTCAGCACCCACGCAACACCAGATATATATAACACCTTATATATAAACCCCATAACACACCAGGTACACCCATGCGGGCATGCCCACCGAAGCCATCCATGTGCTGCGTGCCATGAGTGCCCGCGGCCTCCCATGGAGGGATGGGCTCCTGGCGTCTGTCATTCGCTGCCTTGCCGCTGCTGGCAGGTGGACGGACGCTCAAGGTGAGTCACTGTGGTTGTGCTTGATTGAGTCGACCCATTCACGTGCTGCATGCCATGAGTGCCCGCGGCCTCCCATGGAGGGATGGGCTCCTGGCGTCTGTCATTCGCTGCCTTGCCGCTGCTGGCAGGTGGACGGACGCTCAAGGTGAGTCACTGTGGTTGTGCTTGATTGAGTCGACCCATTCACGTGCTGCATGCCATGAGTGCCCGCGGCCTCCCATGGAGGGATGGGCTCCTGGCGTCTGTCATTCGCTGCCTTGCCGCTGCTGGCAGGTGGACGGACGCTCAAGGTGAGTCACTGTGGTTGTGCTTGATTGAGTCGACCCATTCACGTGCTGCATGCCATGAGTGCCCGCGGCCTCCCATGGAGGGATGGGCTCCTGGCGGCGTCTGTCATTCGCTGCCTTGCCGCTGCTGGCAGGTGGAGGGACGCTCAAGGTGAGTCCTGGTGAAAATACATCAGTAGGATGATTTCAACTGCAGGGTGTTTTTGAGAATTCTCAAAAACACCCTGCGCTCAAGGTCAGTCCTGGTGAAAATACATCAGTAGGATGATTGCAACTGTGAAGTGAAATCGATACAGTCTGGGGTACAGGGTTTAGTTGCCACTTCCCATGGAGGGAGGGATGGCCTCCTGGCGCCAGTCATTCGCTGCCTTGCTGCTGCTGGCAGGTGGACGGGCGCTCAAGGTGAGTATTAGCTGGGGTACGGTTACTATCTATTTAGAAGGATAATCTGAACCCTGAAGCGAGGTCAGTAATGGCTGAGGTACAGGGTTTTATTGCCACTTCCCATGGAGGGAGGGACGGCCTCCTGGCGCCAGTCATTCGCTGCCTCGCTGCTGCTGGCTGGCAGGTGGAGGGACGCTCAAGGTAGGTGAGTCACTGTGGTTCACCTCGTTTCTCTCCCTGCCTTGCCGCTCTTTCTCCACCTTTTTCTCCCTCCATCCCTTCGTTTTTTTTTAGTCGACTCAGAACTAGGTTCTTCTCAATTTTCTCCCTGCCTTGCCGCTCTCCCTCCACTCCACGTTTTTCTCCCTCTATCCCCTCCCCCCTCTCCCCTTCCCCCTCCCAGTCCTATAATCCTATTGCATGCAGCACCACATATGCTCCAAGGCCTGTTTTGTCCTGCACATGCAAAGTTCATCTCTCTCCTTCCCCGCTCCTCTCTCTCTCTCCCGTTCCCCTTTCCAGACCTATTTCACGAAGCCCAGCGCATGGCCCAAGCCCTTGCGAACGAGGCTTTCGCCGGCCCAGCACCGCAGGCTCGGCCCGAACTTGCGGTCTGGAGGAATATTCAGCTCGAGTCTGCAGCTTTGGGAACGAGCCTGATGTCTGGTGGTGCTTTGGGAATGAACGATGTAGAGCTTGCAGGGAGGGAGGAGCTGGGGGAGGATGATGCTTTGGGAAGAAGGGAGTTCAAGCCTGCTGCTTGGAAGAACCAGGAGGAAGTGGTGGGCGAGCAGTCTTACAAGGCCCTGATGAGTGCATACCAACGGGCAGGGCAGGCGGAGAAGGCTGAGGAGCTACTGCTGGCTATGGAGAAACGAGGTGAGATGAGGAGAGGAAAGGAGAGGAGAGGAGAGGAGAGGGGGAGGATGCACACTGATACATATGTGCACATGGCCATGCATGAGTGCATATCAACGGGCAGGGCAGGCACAGAGGGCTGAGGAGCTGATTCTGGCTATGGAGAAACGAGGTGAGATGAGGAGAGGAAAGGAAAGGAGAGGCGGGATGCGGGAAGAGGAGAGAAGAAGAGAGGAGAGGATGCACATTAACACGTGCTCTTGGCGGTGCATGCACGTGTTTGTGTGTGTGTACCACAGCATGTGGTCATGTGTAGGCCCTTTCACTCCGGCCGTGTGTGCCCATCACAGCGGATCTCTACCACATGGTCATGGATGCACATGGCAGGGCAGGCGTGGAGGGCCAACCTTCCCTTTCTCTTTACTCTCTCTCCTCCTTCCTCCTTTCTCACCCCCTTCACTCCAGCCATACCCCTGACAGCCGACCTGTACCACATGGTCATGGACGCTCATGACAGGGTGGGCAAGGAGGACTAACCTTCTTTACCCTCCTCCCTCCTTTCTCCTCCTTGCCCCTTTGTTCCAGGCATACCCCTGACAGCCGACCTGTACCACATGGTCATGGATGCGCATGGCAGGGCGGGCAACACAGCAGCTGCAGAGGCCATTCTGGATTGACAGCTCAACCGCACCGTACAGCCATTTGCCGAACCGTCTGCCAAACCAACTGCTGAACCATTTGCCGAACCATCTTCCGAACCATCTGCCGAGCCATCCGCCGAACCATCCTTCTCAGCGTCAGCCCCAGCAGCAATGAGCTTGAGATTAGGCGACGATGCCACCTCAGCATTGGACGCCATGTCAACCACAAGTGCCACGTCCGCCACCAGTGCCACGTCAGCCACAAGTGCCACGTCAGCCACAAGTGCCACGTCATTATCATCAACAGCCGCCCCACCGTTCGCACCACCCAGGCCAGACATCGTCCAGCTCACCTCCCTCGTGCACGCATATCTACGAGAGGGAAACTTCCGGGAAGCAGCAGTGCGGGTGCGGCAGATGAGAGAGCTTGGGCTGATCCCGACTTACAAGACGTGGGCCACGGTGGTGGGCGGTGCTGCGCGGTGCAGAGATTTATCAGACTGTTGCTGTCTGCTAGAAGCTCTCTCCTTTGTGGGGTTTGATGTACCGGAAAGGTGAGCCCTGAGAATGAGGGGTGGGGCTGAGTCTGCTCCCCACCTACAACACGTGGGCCACTGTGGCGGGCGGTGCAGCGCGGTGCAGTGATCTATCAGACTGTTGCAGTTTGTTGGAAGCAGTGTCTTACGTGGGGTTTGACGTTCCGGAGAGGTGAGCCCTGAGAATGAGGGGTGAGGCTGGGTCTGGTCCCCACCTACAAGACGTGGGTCTCTGTGGTACACGTAAGGTGTGGCTAGGAGTTGGGATTTATCTGGCTTCTGAGACGATTCATATGTCAAACCCTTGTCCTCTCTTTATCGTGCTTTTGTTGAAGCAAGCATCTCTCCTTTGTGTAATCTGATCACCTTTCTTTGCCTCCCCTCTCCTCTCCACCTCTCCTCTCTCCTTGCCACTCCTCCTCTCCTCTCCTCCTCTCCTCCCTTTGCCACTCCTCACTCCTCATTCCGCTCCAACATCTCAGGCTACTCCTCCAATGTGACGACGACACCTGGACGGACATTGACAGTCTGCTGACGTGGCTGCTGGAGAGGGATGCCAGCTGGAGCCGAGCAGAGGTCACAGAGGGAAGCAAGGTGGAGGGAAGTGCAGAAGGCATGGTGACCGAGGGGAATGCAGCAGGGAGTGTGGGAGAGAGGGGTGCAGACGGGAGTGTGGGAGAGAGGGGTGCAGACGGGAGTGTGGGAGAGAGGGGTGCAGACGGGAGTGTGGGGGAGGGGACTGCAATGAAGAGTGGGGGGAATGAGGGGAGTGCAGCGAGGAGCACAGTCAACGTGCTGATAGACCTTCTCTGGTGCTTCGGCCAGCGAGCCAGGGCCCACCGCCTCTTCCTCCTCTCAACCCACCGCGGCGTTTATCCGCGATTCGCCGCTCGGTGGGTGCTGTGCGGTTAAGTGGTGTCTGGTTAGGTGATGGATGGTTGAGTGGTGTGCATTTGGGTGTTAAATGGAAGTGAATGCGCTGGGGGACCTGCTGTGGTGCTTTTGCCAGCAAGCCAGGGCCCACCGCCACTTCCTCCTCTCAACCAACCGTGGAGTATATCCTCGATTCCCCGCCTGGTGGGTACGGAGAGGTTCGGTGGCGTGTAATTTGGTGGTGTGTGTCTCTCTGGTGCCTGGTTGTTTGGCCTCTGGTTTTGTTATAATGTCAACCCTTAAGTGGTGTATTTGCAACTTTGCTTCACAGTTTATATCGAGAACAAAGCCGTTGAGACCCCAAAGAACCTGTTATCACAGCAGGTATAGCTGGTACGGTCGCTGCTCCATTCCTCGACCAGTGCTTTTCCTCAGCCCTCCTGGGCCCCACCAGGGCTGCACCCGACGACTGGAAGCTGGACGTGCGCACGCTCTCGCATTCCCTTCCCTCCCCGATCTTCCCGCGTCATCCCCCAATGGTAGTCCTTATTCCCCTCCCCTCTGTCTTTTCTGTGTCCATCCCACCAGGGCTGCACCCGATGACTGGAAGCTGGACGTGCGCACGCTCTCCCCCGGTGCTGCCCTTGTTGCTCTGCACCACTGGCTTGATATGGTCCAGGTCAGTCCACCCGTCTCCGCCCTCCTCTCCTCCCTCCACTCTCCTCTTTTCTCCTCCGCTGTTCTCCCCCCGGTGCTGCCCTTGTTGCTCCCCACCATTGGCGAGATATGGTGCTGGTCAGTCCACTCCTCTCCTCCATTGTCCTCTTTCCCTTCTTCTCCTCCCCTGCCTCTCCCCCCGGGGCTGCCTTCATGCCATGCCATTAGATGTCCCTCCGTCCGTTCTATCCCCCATGTCATTTCGACCATGCCCTGGCATCCCCACCATCGTCTCACATCCCATCATCCATCCATCCCAACAGGACGCAGCTCTCCAGGGCGTTCCAGCACCCCGCCACGTCAGCATCGTGACAGGTGGCATGCTCCAGCGCGCCATCAACAGCGGCGGCGGCGGTGGCATGCCAGGTGGCAGCGTTTCATTGAAGCGCACCGTGCGCAGCTGGCTGTGGGCCATGGGGGCTCCGTTTCGAGCTGACGAGGACAGGGAGGGTGTACTGACAGCAAGAGGCTATTCTGTGGAGAGATGGGTCAAGGTGAGTCAACAGGGGTCAACAGGGGTCTGTTCTGGTGATGAAATCTGAGGCACCTGAAGCGCACTGTGCGCAGCTGGCCGCGGGCCATGGGGGCTCCGTTTCGAGTTGACGAGGAGAGAGAGGGCGTGCTGGCAGCAAGAGGGTACTCCGTTGAGAGATGGGTCAAGGTGAGTCAACGCAGGTCAAGGTGTGTCAACCGAGGTCTTGGTTTGTGCTGACCATTATGTCAGTGAATGTGAGTGAGTCACATCAAAGTAATCTCCGCAGTCCCTTGACACATTCCTCGTGTTTACCCTCCCCATTTCCATACAGGACGCTCCAAGTTGTCAAGATCTATCCTTGGAAGACTCACCACATCCTACACCAACCAATACTATGTGCATATATGAAAACGCTCTTATGCGCACAGACGTTGCGGCACTGTTACAAGAACTAGACGAGCATGGGTTGTTGGACGGGAAGAAGGGACCTCCAAGGGTGATGTCGCGGCTGCTACGGATTAAAGAGGAGAAGAAGGACCAGTGGATAAAGATGCAAGCGGTGCTTACAGAGACTAGGGCACAACGGGCCGCCAAGGCTAGGAAGAAACGTGATAGAAACAGGGAGCTGAGGAAGGCTCGTAAACCAAAAAGGTGATGTACTTTAATACTTTGTTTTGCAAATGGAAACGCTTGTAGTGCAATTGTGTACGTCGTAATAGTATTTCCGCAATGAACACGCTTCTTGTAATTCTCTCGGATTGCTACAGTCGCGGATTACTTGTCCATGCAAACCATCCATAAATCAGCATGCACATCCTCCCGTTTAGGGTTTCCAACAAAACGCATCACTTCTTTCACGCTCGCTCTCACGTCTCTCTCTTCCTACCTCACATCGGCAGTGTCACTGTTCAAGCTTCTCTTGGAACTTTTGCCTTCAGCCCATCGATTAGTAGGTTTATCATACCTTTTATTCACTAGAGCGTGATACTTTCAGCTCGTCACCATGCCGGCCACGGCGGGCCGCGTTCGCATGCCAGCGAACAACAGGGTGCACAGTAGCGCAGCCCTGCAAACGCACGGCATCTGGCAGAGCGCCATCGGGTACGATCCGTACGCTCCTGACGAGAAGAAAGCAGCCGACGGCGAGGATAACGCGTACGACAGTTTCCAAGGACTGCTGCAGCTCGCGAAATTGACGGGATCTGGAGCCGACACGTCTCGCGGTTCGTGCAAGAAGTGCCATCGTGTCGGCCATTTGACGTTTCAGTGCCGGAATTTTCTGACGGCCAAGGAGGACGTTAACGTTCCGGCGGAGCTTGCTGGAGGGTTGGCCGGCCAACGGCCGGGGATGGAATTCGCGGAAGAGGAGAGTGACGTGTCGCTTAGCGATGATGACGGTGACGGGGATTTGGCTGAAGCGGCGCGTTCTCGTGGTTTGATACCCTCGAAAGTCGGGGATGGCGCTTCGGAGAAGAAGGAGAAGAAAGGAAACGATTTGAAAAAGAAAGACAAGACGAAAAAGAAGCACAAGAAAAAGAGCAGCAGTAAGAGGAAGAGAAGAAAGTCTGACAGTTCAGACGACGATGATTCGTTATCCGACGATTCGTTATCGGATAGTGACGACGACGATTACTCGTCTTCTGACGACGACAGGAGGAGGAGGCGGAGGAAAGGCAAGAAGGAGCGGAAGCGGAGCAGCAAGAGCAAGAAGTCATCGTCACGCAAGCACAGGAGGCGGAGAGACGAGACTGAGAGTGAGAGTGAGGAGAGTAGTGGGAGTGAGAGTGAGGAGGTGTCTGATGACAGTGATAGCAGCGGTGGGGCGAGGAGGAAGAGGAAACGGAAGGACAAAGAGGGGAAGAAGAAGCGGAGAGACAGGGACTGAGTTTTGAGACAGTCTAAAAACTTGAAAGTAGTGGGAGTGAGAGCGAGGAGAGTGGTGGGAGTGAGAGTGAGGAGAGTGGTGGGAGTGAGAGTGAGGAGAGTGGTGGGAGTGAGAGTGAGGAGAGTGGTGGGAGTGAGCGTGAGGAGAATAGTGGGACTGAGTGAGGAGGTGTCTGATTCAGCAGCGGTGGGTCGAGGAGGAAGAGGAAGCAGAAGGATAAGGAGGGAAGAAGAAGCGGAGAGACAGGGACTGAGTTTTGACTTCACCGTTGTTTGGCACTAACCAATGTTTTTCAAGTTTTCTTGCCCTATTCATGCAGTCGTTGAAGCTTCTGTCAAAACAGATGTGAGAAAGTTTGTTTCAGTACAGCCTTAATGAGAGGATATCTGTTCATACATGGTTACATACAATATTAGGTGCAGAGAAGCCGATAACATGGACATTATGCCCTTGCACGGCGCTCCTCTGTCTGCGGCATTGCCCTGCGTAGAGTGGCACAGCAATCTCTCACAAACACTACCCCCACTGCGATGATTTGCAGTCTATCGAGTCCTGCGGTTACGGAATACAGTGCAAGCTACTTATTACAGGAAACCACAGCTCTGCCCATTATTACCGCATACCCACCGACCACACTCATTGCAGCCACAGCTCACCCTACGCAACTCCCCTCACTGCGCTGGTCCCAGATTGATGTGTAGCTTAGGGGAGCACTGCTTCGCACCTTCCCTTCTGCTCCACATAGGAGCCGTCCCTCCTGCAACCTCATAGAAGCCTGATCGTCACCCTTGACGCCTCGGAAGCCTCAGATGCAAAAACCCTACTCTCCTTCTCCCAGTCCGGTGCCGAACCCCAGGGAACATACGGCCCTCCACAGGAGCATTTACCAATCTGGGATCTACCGAACCTCCCAGCTCCACAGGTTCAGGCTCGGGTGTTTCGCCAACAGGGAGGACTGTCAGCTCGCTGCCGAACCTGGCTGCGCTGCTGGTAACATTGTTACAACAAGCTCCAGGAGACAGCTCATCTTCTTGTGCCAAAGCCGCCATGCTATCGGATTCAAAAGGAGGGTCAGAGAGCACAGAGCGCAACTTAAAGCCCCCCGGGCTTCCTGGCTCTCGGGGTTTGAAGCTGGAAGCGGGGGGGGATGGGGTGGGCGAGGTTTTGGGTTTGGGTGGAGGGTCGGGGACAGGCTTGGGGCTGGGCTTGGGACTAGGCTTGGGAGCAGGCTTGGGGCTCGGCTTGGGACTGGGCTTGGGAGCAGGCTTGGGACTAGGCTTGGGAACAGGTTTGGGGCTCGGCTTGGGACTAGGCTTGGGGCTCGGCTTGGGACTAGGCTTGGTACTCGGGTTGGGGCTAGGCGTGGGGCTCGGTTCGGGGCTCGGTTTGGGAACTGGTTTGGGGCTAGGCTTGGGGCTAGGCTTGGGGCTAGGCTTGGGGCTAGGCTTGGGGGGAGGTGCAGGAGCGTAGAGGCCGTCAGGAGTGGGGTTGATGAGAGGCTCCCGGCGAAGCATCTCATAGAAAAGGTCGACCCACACGTCTGGCACCCCAGGCTGGCACCAGTGCAGACAATCGGATCCCTTTTTCTTCTGGCAGGGACAGGGAGGGAAGAAAGGGATAATGGGAGTCAAGACTGGGGTTGATGAGGGGCTCCCGGCGCAGCATCTCGTAGAAGAGGTCGACCCACACGTCTGGCACTCCCGGCTAGCACCAGTGCAGACAGTCCGACCCTTTCTTCTTCTGCCAGGGGTTTCGGGTTTGGAAGGCGGGAAACAACAGGGAAGAGGGGGCAATCGGGGGAAAGAGAGGAGTGTGAGTAGTGGAAAAGGGTTGTTTAACCCAGAGTGGGATTGGGGAGTGGGGTTGATGAGGGGCTCCCGGCGCAGCATCTCGTAGAAGAGATCGACCCACACGTCTGGCCCTCCCGGCTGGCTGGCACCAATACAGACAGTCGGATCCTTTCTTCTTCTGCTTAGGGTTTGGAAATTGGGGATGGGGGACTGGGGATTGGGGATTAGGGGTTGGGGTTTGGGGTTAGGGGGTCGGGGGTTGAAAGGGAGCAGACAACAGGTGAGGGGAGGGGATTGGGGGAAAGAGAGAAGCGTGCTCAATGGTAAGAGATGAAAAACGCTCGTTATTGCGCTCGTTAGGGCACTCACACCCGCCCCCCTCTCCCCCCTGTGGCCGCATAACATCACCCCCTCCCTCACCATGGCACGTGGAACTCACCCCGCCCATGAATCCGCCAATGTGCTTCGGGTCTGAAGGCGCTCATAGTGGTGATGACGTGATGTCCATGCGACGCCCGCCCAAGTCGGGGGTGAAGGAGGAGGTCCCCTCCTCTGAACGCATAGTCTCTCAAAACGTACTCACAGAACCACACACCCCATTATGGCCTCCTAGCACTCGCCCCGCTTATGCATGCATCCTCCGATGTGTGCCTCGGGTCTGAATGCGCTCATGGTGGTGATGTCCATGTGGCGAACGCCCGAGTCTGGAGTGACGACAGCAGCATGTGAATGCCATACTTTCCTAGAACGCGTGTATAGAAGCACATGTGGCACTCATTACCCCGTCCATCCTAGCACTCACCCCGCCCATAAAACCGCCAATGTGTGCCTCGGGCCGGAAGGCGCTCATAGTGGTGATGTCCATGCGGCGAACGCCTGAGGTTGGAGTGAAGACCCGTTGCTGGATGGGCAGAAAGAGCTTCATTTGCACGTTGGTGCGCTGTAGCTTGCCCATCTGTTGATTTGGAGAGAGGAAAGGGTGAATGGGAAGGATAAAGTTGATGGGAGGACTTTGGAAGTGAAGACCTTCTGCTGGATGGGCAGAAAGAGCTGCATCTGTACGTTGGTGCGCTGTAGCTTGCCCATCTTAGGGGAAAGGGTGGGCGGGGGATGGGGAGGGGAGAGAGAGGGGAATGGAAAAGTGAGTGATGGGAAAGACAGGGAAGACCCGTTGCTGGATGGGCAGGAAGAGCTTCATCTGCACGTTGGTGCGCTGTAGCTTGCCCATCTGAGGGAAAGAGGGAGAGAGAGGGAGGTGAGGAAGCAGAAAGTCAAAGAAACCTTTTTCAGTCGACTCAAAAATCGACTTTTCACACGAGGGAGGTGGGGAAAGCGGCAAGTCAAAGGAAGGAGGGGAAGGAAGGAGGAGGCATTGGGAGCGAGGACCTTCCTTTGGAGGGCAGGAAGAGTTGCAGCTGCATGTGGGTGCGCTGTTGTGTCACAGCCTGACAGGTGAAACTGGAACCTTCACGGCAGCTCCCTGGCCAACCATACGTAATGATTAATAGTAATAGTAATAGTAATAGTAGTAGTAATAATAATAATAGTAATAGTAATAATAGTAACAACAACAACAATGATAAAAAACATTAACAGCAAGAATAATAATACTAAGAATTATAATAATATATTTTTTTGTCTTGCTTCTCTAGCTTCACTTTTCCAGTGAAGTCTGACCAGCCTCCCCTCTCCCCGGTTTCCTCGTTGTCTGGCCACTGGCACACTGCTGATCCCCGAACCCAAGCTACCCATTCTGCCTCACCTCCTGCGCTGCGCGTTTCAGCCTCACCTCGTTCGCATTCAGCAGCCATGCAGGTGACCCACACGCGCCATTGCCGCCAACCGTCTTGGCCACGTGTAGAAAGTGTAGTTTCGAGACGTCTCAAAGCTACACTTTCTACACGTGCTGCGTGGAGGCACTCTCTTGAAGAACGGCACTGGCAGCACTTTCCCCAACCTCCCCGCACCCTCCCGGGGATCGATACCTCAAGTATGACCTGCACGGGACCTTTTTAGAGGCGCCTAAAAAAATTCCCCAACCTCCCCGCACCCTTCGAGTATGTTCTGCACTACTGAAATCACTTTTGAGAATTCTCAAAACCCTTCGAGTATGTTCTGCACTACTGAAATCACTTTTGAGAATTCTCAAAACCCTTCGAGTATGTTCTGCACTACTGAAATCACTTGAAAGAATTGTCAAAACCCTTCGAGTATGTTCTGCTCTGCACGGGACCTCCTACCCTCTCGTTCTCACCTCTTTGGCATTCAGCATCCGACCAGGTGACCCGCACACGCCCTTGCCGCCAACCTTCTTGGCGTTGTGCTGCGGGGGAGCCGTCATGAAGAACGGCACTGGCAGCACTTTCCCCAGCTTCTTGCGATTGCTAAAGTGCGTGCGAACGCTCGTCAGGGCTTGGCTGAGGGAAATGGGAGAAGGAGGTTGAAGAGGAGATGAGAGCTCAGAAGGGCGCTCATGAAGAACGGTACTGGAAGATCCTTCCCCAGCTTCTTGTGACTGCTGAATGCTCGTGAGGGCTTGGCTGGGGGGTGAATGGGGGCAGGTGGAGGGCGCAACGGACAATGAAGGGGGCCTGTCATGAAGAACGGTACTGGAGAATCCTTCCCCAGCTTCCTGCGATTGCTGAATGCTCGTCAGGGCTTGGCTGGGGGGTGAATGGGGGCAGGTGGAGGGCGCAACGGACAATGAAGGGGGCCTGTCATGAAGAACGGTACTGGAGGATCCTTCCCCAGCTTCCTGCGATTGCTGAATGCTCGTCAGGGCTTGGCTGGGGGGTGAATGGGGGCAGGTGGAGGGCGCAACGGACAATGAAGGGGGCCTGTCATGAAGAACGGTACTGGAGGATCCTTCCCCAGCTTCCTGCGATTGCTGAATGCTCGTCAGGGCTTGGCTGGGGGGTGAATGGGGGCAGGTGGAGGGCACAACGGACAATGAAGGGGGCCTGTCATGAAGAACGGTACTGGAGGATCCTTCCCCAGCTTCCTGCGATTGCTGAAGTGCGTGCGAACGCTCGTCAGGGCTTGGCTGGAGGAAGGGGGTGGATGGAAGGGAGGTGGGAGGTGGGAAGGGCGTTAATGGAAACTTTTGGGACGTCTCAAAGGTGGGAAGGGCGTTAATACAGAGCAGCACCGGGAGCTGCTTTCCCAGCTTCCTGCTCTTGCTGAACTGCGTGCGTATGCTTGTCAGGGCTTGGATGGAGGAAGGGGAGGAGTGGATGTTGTAGGTATGGGAGATGGGAGGTCAGAAGCGCGTTAGTGAAGAGCGGTTCTGGAAGCACCTTCCCATCTTTGTGCAATCGATGACTTTTGAGTCGACTCAAAAGTCAGAAGCGCGTTAGTGAAGAGCGTTAGTGAAGAGCGGTTCTGGAAGCACCTTCAAGGTGTGAATGGGTTCTGCAATCGTTGACGCTTGAGCAGATGCTCGTGAGGGATTGGGGTGACTTTTGAGTCGACTCAAAAGTCACCTCGGTTCTGGAAGCACCTTCCCTTCTTTGTGCAATCGTTGAAGTGTGAGCAGATGCTCGTGAGAGATTGGCTGAGAGGTGAATCGGGGGAGGGATGCGGGGAAACGGAGAGGGAGAGAAGGACGTATGGAGAGAATATCACCAGAGGCAGAGGCAGAGGCAGAGGCAAAGGCAGAGGCAGAGACGAGGTAGAAGCAGAGGCAAAGGCAGATATCATATCACCAGCTATCACCCACCTGTGCGCCTGGTACTGGTCGAGGCTCAGCTTGTTTCAGCTCTCGTTCGTGTACACCATGTGCGGCTGACTGAGGCTGACTGAGGGCTGACTGAGGCTGACTGAGGGCTGACTGAGGCTGACTGAGGGCTGACTGCGGCTGACTGAGGGCTGACTGAGGCTGACTGAGGGCTGACTGAGGCTGACTGAGGGCTGACTGAGGCTGACTGAGGGCTGACTGAGGCTGACTGAGGGCTGACTGAGGCTGACTGAGGGCTGACTGAGGGCTGACTGAGGGCTTTTGGCAGATTGCTCACCTGTGCGCCTGGTACTGATCCAGGCTCAGCTTGCTCCAGTTCTCGTTCGTGTAGACCATGCGCGGCCCCTTGGAGAGCGAGCGTCGTGGTCTCGAGAAGCACTGCGTCCCACTCGTCCAGGTAGCGCGCGACATAGGGGGATAAAGTGCTCACCTGTGCGCCTGGTATTGGTCCAGCGGCAGCTTGTTCCAGTTCTCGTTCGTGTACACCATCCTGGGCCCCTTGGAGAGCGAGCGCCAGTGCGTGGTGGTCTCTAGCAGAGAGAGAAGACCCACCAACTAGAAAGCACCTGTGCGCCGTTCAAACCTCATACCTGTGCGCCTGGTACTGGTCCAGCGGCAGCTTGCTCCAGTTCTCGTTCGTGTAGACCATGCGCGGCCCCTTGAAGAGGGGAGGAGGGGAAGCGCAGTTGGCACACTGCTCACCTGTGCGCCTGGTATTGGTCCAGCGGCAGCTTGCTCCAGTTCTCGTTCGTGTAGACCATGCGCGGCCCTTTGGAGAGCGAGCGCCAGTGCGTGGTGGTCTCTAGCAGCACCGCATCCCACTCGTCCAAGTAACGAGCCCACTGCGGGTTGGGCGTGGACACGTCTATCAGACAGTCCGCTGGGTTGGGGTCCGTTATTCCTCCGACCTTGGCCAGCATTGTGGCGTCTGGTGGGAAGTGTGGCGCAGAGGAAGAGGGAAAGGCGAGACTGAGTGGAAGGAGCGGTGGTCTTGAGCAGCACTGCGTGCCACTCGTCTAGGTAGCGCGCCCACTGCGGGTTGGGCGAGGTCACGTCTATCAGACAGTCGGCTTGCTTTGGATCCGTTATTCCCCCCACCTCGGCCAGCATTGTGGCGTCTGGAGAGGGGAAAGGGGGAGGGGCAGCGGGAGCAGAGGAGTGCGTGGGAGGAGTGGGTTAGGGAAGGCGTTTCGAGCAGCAGCACTGCGTGCCACTCGTCCAGGTAGCGCACCCACTGCGGGTTGGGCGTGGCCACGTCTATCAGACAGTCGGCTGGGTTCGGATCGGTGATGCCCCCCACCTTGGCTAGCATTGTGACGTCTGAAAGTAACTGTGGAGGAGGAGGCATAGGAAGAGAGGGAGAAGAGAGAAAAGAACAAGTTGAGAGGGAGGAGCGTGGCGTTGAGCTGCGGAATGGAATAATACACGTACACCACGACCTCGATAATACTGTACATGCCACCACACTGCCACCCCTCGATAATACTCGTAAAATAGCGTACTCTGGTTGATGCGCACGAGGTAGTCGTCCCAGAGCATGACGATCCTGGCGTTGAGTTGCGGGATTGAGTTCACGTAAGCCACCGCCTCGGGATGTACGATTCCCATAAGCCCAAATTTCTACACTACAACGTGAATAGATTTATCCCTTATGTGCTGTATCTAGGGTGTAGCGAGAGAACGTACTCTGGTTTATCCTGACGAGGTAGTCGTCCCAGAGCATGACGATTTTGGCGTTTAGCTGCGGGATCGAGTACACGTAAGCCACCGCCTCGGGCGAATCCTTGGACCACGCGCCGCCATCCAACGTGCGCAGCTCGGGCTTCGGACTCACCCAGTACTGCTGGTTTATCTGTAGAGACATTGGGGGGAATTGGGTGTAGTTATTTCGGATATATGCATGTGGACCGAGGCGGTATTCTCGAAGCTGTTCACTTCATCCGCCGACCCAGTCATTCAGCGAGCGCGGCTCGGGCTTTGGGCTCACCCAGAACAGAGGAGAGGCAAAGGAGAGATGGGGAGACAGGGAGATTGAGTTGTGAATATATCGGCTTTCATGGTCAATGACGGTTCTCACGTCATTCGTTATATTGGAAACCTCTATCAATGTGCACGGCTCCGGATTCGGACTCAACGGGTTGCGTCGGTTCATGCACAAAGCTGGGGAAATTATGGTGATAGTTATATTGGTTTTGTGGTTGAGAATCACAAGCACACGCACATGCTCGCAACATAGCTCTCACACAACGCATGAATGCACACGCTCACGGGCACTCACTCAATCACATGAACACGCACATGTCAAGAACACACACTCGCCTGGCAGAGCAGCTACAGTTTTTGAGTTTCAACTAAACTGCCAAATAATACTGTCAGCAGATAGACATAGCAGACGTTGTTACACACAAACACACGTGAACACACCTGGCAGAGCAGCGACGGTACGAAGTTTGCGCTCGTGAGCGAGTCACCGATGATCGCAATCTGCTTGTTCTTTATCAGCTGATAATACACACACACGCACACCCCCTCACCCTCCTCCCTCTCCCCCGTTCCCTTCCACACACCCACACAAGCACTCACAACCCCCCCTCACCCTCCCACACACACCTGGCAGAGCAGCGACGGCACGAAGTTGGCGCTCGTGAGCGAGTCGCCGATGATCACAACCCTCCCTTTCCCATACACGCACAAACACTCACAACCCCCCCTCGTCTCCCCCCCCCCCACACACACCTGGCAGAGCAGCGACGGCACGAAGTTGGCGCTCGTGAGCGAGTCGCCGATGATCGCAAACTGCTTGTTCTTTACTAGCTGATAATACACCCACACGCACAATCCCTCCACCCTACCCCCTTCTTCCCCCCCTTTTCCGTGACATGCATACGCAAACACTCTCCACCCCCCCTCCTCCGCCCCCCACACACTCACCTGGCAGAGCAGCGACGGCACAAAGTTGGCGCTCGTGAGCGAATCGCCAATGATCGCAAACTGCTTGTTCTTTATTAGCTGTCCGAAGTGACTGTAGCGTTGTGATAGCGGGAGAGGGGGGAGAGCGGAGCATATGGAAGGGGGAGCAGGAGTGGTTGAGGGGAGGGGAGGGGAGAGGGGAGCAAATGCAAGGGGGAGTAGGGGTGGTGAGGGGAGGGGATGGGTCGGGAAAACCGGGGGTTGGGGGAAGGCAAATGAAGGGGGAAGAGAGGAGAAGACAGGTATGCGATCGGCTTTCCTTCAAAGACTGCGTGTACACGTGTGATACAAACGAAGGTAAGAGAGAGAAGAGACACGTGCTGAAATTCTCTGCCTACATAGATTAAGGACCATTCGTGAAGAGACGGCGGGATTCTTGATGGGATGGGCTGGGAGGGTGTGGGGAGTGGATGCGATGTGGCGACGCTCATTGGGAAGCGTAGCCTGCACTTGTTCGTACGTACGTTCGGTTGAATCGCACAATTCTCTTGCAGCTTGTTGAATACCACGAGTAGCGTACGTACGCGCTGTCCGGCCTCCCGTTCGTACTGCAACGGGTCAAGTTGAACTGCAAACGGAAACGGAACAACCAAAGTCTCTGTCAGTTGTCACTTGTAAAGAAACGTGCGTCCACTGCCAAAAATATTGTGCCAAAAAAAAAAAAAAAAAAAAAAAAAAAAAGCCCTATCAATCAGGAAACCCAAAAAAGAGGCTGTTGAAAAAGGAAACCTTACCAGAAAGGGGCATGAGTCTTGATATGGCGGTCGGTTGCCGTCAACTACCCACCGGCCTTCGAAAATATTGCAAACCGGGGCTGACGCGGCCGGCAAAATAACCGGACAGAAGGCACTGGTCGTCACAAGGAGCAGAACCGCGAGCCAAACCGCGTCCCGCGGCGCCTTAAGAGACAATGGGAGCCGAACCGCATGTGGATACTGTAGCTGATCAAGAGGCGTGCGGCGGACAGAGCAGCGGACTAAATCGTGTGGCGGTGAGGTGGTTTGCGCCATGGTCAGGAGCAGCTGAGGTGGCTGCTTCACCCAGCCGAGGAGGCTGCTTCACCCAGCCGAGGTGGCTGCTGACGTGGCTGCTCTACAGAACTCAAGACTCCCGAATGACTAAGCGCTCAGTGTTGGCGCGTCGTGATCGCGACGTCGACCCGGTACTGTCTCGCTCTATACGGATCGGAGCTCATAAAAACTGCTCTAGTAGACGCATCATGTCACCATAACTGGTTCGAGAAGGCTCTAAACAGTTCTAGACTTGGAACTCATGGCCAAGAACTAATCAGCTGAATGTGGTGACGCGTGCTGAAGCAGCTCGCACTACCGAGCTAATAATGCTATGCTAAGAGATATGGTAGTTGTTGACGAAAGAATGTCAAATTGCTTCGCTGATGCCGCTAAGGGCGGGTCCAGCGCGTACACTGTCCGTACATTACAGTTCATCCAGTGCGGTAATTTGTAGTGCGTCAAGGTTAAAAACGGTGCGATTTGAGAACCGCTGTGCACCGCCTGATATCTTTTCTCACCTCGACAAATGAACTGTATAGTACCTGTAAACGTACGCGCTGGACACGCCCTAAGCAGCTGAGAGATGGTGACTTGCTACAGCGGTGGGTCCGAAAATAGACATAAACGTTGCAGAGGAGATGACTAAAGTTCAGTGGATGGCCTCGTCTACGAGTACATGAAAAGGCAAGAGCAGATAGATGATCCGTACAAAAACAATTGCCGACAACAAGTGAGCGACTATCGTCAACAGTAAACGGGTTTTGAATTAAAAGGCAGGCGGATGCGCCCAGGCTGTCAAGAAAGAGAGACACGGTCGGCAACAGAGGTCCACTGATGAAGATGAAGGTATAAGATGGGGTGGGAGTGAGGATTGCTAGGCTGGGCGTGAAACTGCTGTTCCAGGTCATGGGAGGAACTGATAGGCGCGATTTTTGTGTTGTGTCTTCCCCCCCACCCCAGCCATTCCTTTCCAGACACACAACGACACACAACGAGAAGCAGCTCTGCGTGACGGACGGAGCTGCTCAGACCAGCTTCACATGCCAAGCTCAACTCAATTGACCACGGAAGAACCTCTTTCTTGTTGTCAGGGACGCGGGTCGCTGAGCTCTGAAATGGAAGGCAAACGTACGGCTGAGAATAACGTGCTGTGTGATAAAAGCAATTTCGACGGTTGGATGAGAAAGTAGGGAGGAATTGAAGCTGACCGGAGTCAAGGTTTATGACAGTATTGGTTGGGGAGCACCTTGGAACGAGCCGCACTGTATCGAAATGTAGCGCCGACTGCGCATTTTAGCCCAAAATGGCGACACGAGATTGGCCTGCCTGTGTGTTCACCTGAATCACCTCTCCAATCCACACCACCACACCGCAACGCACCGATTTTTTCAAACTGGCACAGGCGCCGCCACCAGCCATAGAACACCCAGCTCCCCAAGCATGCCCTGATTCCCTCCCAGATAACCTCCCCCAATCCAACCAGCCACACGGGGGAGGGGGGGATTTCATCCGCAAACAAAATCAACCAGCAGGGTAACTCCCAGACCAGACGGATGGGTGGCGGAGGTTGGAGGCGGGGAGAATTTAACAGCGAGGGATGCGGCAGCGCGCCTGGCCCTAGCATGCCATTGGCGCTCTGCCCAGCACAAATACAGCCACCGACTAAATGTGGGCCTCGATTCGTCACCACCAGCGCGGGCCATCAGAGTTACGTTTTCGTGGACGCTTGCAAGCAACGACATATGCGAAATGTGTGGCTGTTACGAGTGCAATTGAGTGAGCGAGCTAGAATTGCACTATCGAAGCAAGAGTACAATGAGCAAAGGCATGAGCGAAGAATATATAGCGAAACTACAATGGTAACGGTAATGGACTGTGGTTGTCGCGCGACGGGCCTGGGACTGAGGTTTGGGAAAATGTCGAAGCGGAGGCCCGGAGCGCGGGTTACCCGCCGAGCCGTGAGGTCGGGGTGCGACATGCGAAAGTGGTAGGAGGGTTGTCGATGCGAGAGTTTGCGAGTGGTAACGGTGCTGACTGTGGTGCTACAGTGGTGTACGCGCCGAGCGTGGACGCGAAGTAAGGAAAATGAATTTTCCTTACACTACCCCCCCCCCTAAGGAGGTCCTCCTTACGAAAGTACGTATACATCCCTGAAGTTTCGGCTGCGCAGATACTCTGTGAGGACGAGGTGGTTTCTGACTCTGTCCAGGGGAACCCAGTTGTCTTCGGTGGGTGTACGGTCTTTCCAGCGGATCAGGAACTCGATCCTTCGGGCTCCTCGAGGGTCACGAACTCTGTGGCCCAGAATTTTCTCGGGTGTGATGATTGGTTCAGTCGGCGGTCGTGCCATGCTGGCTGGGCGATTTCGTGGCAGTTGGCTTGTGGACGGGACGTAAGGGCGAAGCAGGCTGACGTGGAATGAGGGGCTGATGTACCAGTCAGTGGGGAGGAGGAGGTGGGCGGTGACGGGCGTAATCATGTGGCTTATGCGAAATGGCCCACAATATCGGGGGCGGAGTTTTGGGGTGATGGGCAGTCGGAGGTCCTGAGTGTCGAGTAAAACTAGGTCGTCAGGTTGGTAAGTGACAGGTCGGCGATGGCGGTCGGCGTTACGTTTAGCGACCCGGTGCTGCCCGGGTCCGTGCTGCTTGTAAAATTTCGGCGAACTGTTGTGCTCGTGGCACCGGGTTGTCGGGATTCGGGGTCATGGGTACTGTCGGGTCTTGTCCGTAGTTCATATAAAACGGTGACTGTTGGGTCATGGCGGATAGTGAGTTGTTGTATGCGAACTCAATGAGTGGCAGCTGTTGTTCCCAGGTGGTTGGGTCGTTGCACGTGGCTCGGATGAGTTGCTCCATAGTCTGGTTTGTCCGTTCTGTCT